TTCAGAATCTTGAGTTGTGTGAAGTTTGTTTAGTGATTTTTTTTTATTATAGAGGAAACACGGCTGCTTTCTTTTATTTTTTAAACTATAACGACACTGTGACTGAGAAAAAAGGGGATAAAGAGGGAAAAGACAAGATGGTTAAGAGAGTGGCTTCTGAAAAGAAGCCAGTATTCCCACGTCTTGTTACTAAAAGAATTGAGAGACGAACCAGATGACTAGCGCAATTATTTGCGAATGGACACCTCAGCCTATTGTCAATTGCTAGAGTTGGTAACACTGTACATATTGAAATAAGACAACTGCATGAGAAAAGCCATTACACTCCATGAAAGACTTACAGCAACTCTCAGATATCTTGCAACAGAACGCAGCCTCAAGAACTTCACAACCATAATATCGTCGGCTTACAAGCGAAACACACTAAGTCAATTTTTTTCACTTTTGAGTTATTTGCAGCATTTTATTATATTTTTTTTACTCTTTAGACTGGTTAAACTCACTAAGTCATACAATAACAAAAACGGTTATTTTTATAATTATCATGTTTCTCACTAAGTCTCAAAAACTATACATGATTCAGGCAAAACACACTAAGTGACTTAATGTATTTCACTTGACTACGAATGAACCTACCGACTGACTTACGCAGAACAACTTGTCCAATCTTGTAAAAAATTAATTATTTGTTTGGGTATATTGCATAGGTTTTGTCAGTTTTATTCCAGTATTTTGCGTGATTAGGTCGTTAACAGTTTTGAATTTTGTGTGTATTTATTAATTTCTGTAAGAAAAATAAAATTTTCTGTCAAACTACCTACAGCGATAAACAAAGACGTGAGCCTAAATTCTGATAATTTTTGTCAAGATATTCAGTCAGGTCCTCCTCAAATAAGTGACCAGGATTCTGATGAATGTATGGAGGATAGCGACTATATTCCTTCAGGTAATGAAAGTGATCATTTAGATACCAGCGAAGGAAACTTTACAGCAGACGAGGAAAAAACAAATTCAAATGAAAATAGTCAAGTAGGACCTAAAAGAAGCCGATGGAACACCCCAAGACCATCTGTGTGGTCAACATCCCAATACCATCAACTTTTCTGAAGAGAACCGCAACTTGCTATGTCAAACTTATGTGATGTTGTCATTTCAAAGACAGAAAGACTTTATATTATTGAATGTGCTTTCTAATAAGGTAAAGAGTCGCAGGCCTAGAAAAGTAGAAAATAGCAAAATGCGATCCAACGCAAAATCCTATTTTTTCACAAATATGGGAAAGAAAAGTCAAATGTGTCAGAAATTTTTTTGTAAAACATTATCTATTTCCAATAGGCCTATAATTAATGCCTTTAAAGAGAAAAATGTAAGCGGCGAATATAGTGGAATAGACAGAAGGGGCCGTAGGATTCCTGGCAATAAAACTTCAGTGGAAGCAAGAATAAGAGCAAAAAAACACATTGAAAGCTTTCCTGATGTAGAAAGTCACTACACTAGAAAGTCTTTGAAAAGACTTTATTTAGATTGCAATCTTAATATTAAAAAAATGCACGACCTGTTCGTTAAAAAGTGTAAAGAGGACAATTTGCCAAGCTTAAGTTAGATAACCTATAGGCGAATCTTTTGCAAGGAATTTAATATATCATTTTTCAAACCTAAGAAAGACCAATGTTTGACCTGTAAGGAATACACAAAAGCATCGCAACAAGAAAAAGAAGCGATGGAGCTTAATTATAGAAGTCATTTAGACAGAAAAGAGGCTGCAATGAAAGAAAAAAATTCAGACAAAGAAGTATCGAAAAAGAATAAAAAATTTAAATCAATTACATGTGATATGCAAAGCGTTTTACAAATTCCATCATCGCAAGTAAGTCTCTTGTATTATCTTAGAAAGCTGAACCTCTATAATTTTACAATTTAGGAATCTGCTCCACCAAATGAGGCATTCTGTTATTTTTGGACCGAAGTCAATGGTAAGCGTGGAAGATGTGAAATTGGTACTTGCCTAGGAATGTACATTAATTCATTATCTGATATAGAACATCTAACGATTTTTTCAGATACGTGTGGAGGACAGAACAAAAATATTCAAGTATCTGCTGTGCTTTTACATATTGTTAAAAACCATCCGAGTCTTCGGATAATTAAGCAAAAGTTCATGGAAAGTGGACACTCCTATATGGAAGTAGATTCCATGCATAGCGCTATTGAAGTGCCAAAAAAAAATGTGGAGATTTTTAGTGTTCACGAATATGAAAATGTCTTTAAAATGGCCAGAATGGACAACAATGGGAATAAAAAATCTTCCTATAATACTCGTGAAGTTAATTATAACGAATTCTTATATTTGAAAAAACTTGCACAATATGCTATTGTTAATAAGAAAGAGGATCAAAAAGGGCAAACGGTCAACTGGTTAAAGGTAAAGTGTTTTAAGTATGAAAAACAGTTTCCTAACATTCTACAGTACAAGTATAATTTTCACGACGAATATAAAAATATTAACGTTAGTTTTGTACGTCGTGCTTCTAATAGAACAGTCAAAGAGGATAATAATAATGAAAATTTGGTTATTCCTCAATTATATTCTAAACAGCTTCCAATTTCGGATGCAAAGAAAAAAGACTTGATAAAGCTCTGTGAAAAAAATGTAGTTCCGCAAGCGCTCCATACCTGATTCAAAAATCTACCAAGTTCCTCTTCTGTTCGAGACCAAACAGCGGAGTCAGCTGAAAAGGACTCTGACGAAGAAGACTTTGAAAATTAGAAGCATTTTTTTTGTTATACACGTTTTGTTTTGTTATACCTGTATTTTTTTAATAATGTTCTTGTTTTGTGAAAATATACATGAAAAAAGTAAAAACTTATATAAGCAAAAATAATTGTATTATTTATAATGTAAACGAAGCCTGCAATAATCGTATGACAGTAAGTAAATAAAAAAAAATACAATAAGTCATACTTTCATAGCAAAATTAAACAAGTAAAACACACTAATTTAAATGCTACAGGTAAAAAACATTAAGTCAACGTATTAAATTTGAAAATTAAACAAAAATTAATAATTTGGTAATATATAATTTACTTCTCCTCGTCAGTAATCATTATTAATACTTTATGGAAACTTTCGTATAATTATAAAACAACAAATAAAAGTTTTAAATGTGAAAATTGATCAAACTGTTTTAAAAAAAATTTAAAACACAATTATCTCAAAACTATATTTTTTGACTTAGTGTGTTTCGCTTGTAAGCCGACGATATACAAACCAGCGTTAAGCCAAATAATTCCTGAAACCTGTAATGCAATCTACTTGGTTTTAAAACAGAACTACTACTAACTAAAGCTTAGCTACTATTAATTTGTTAATTAGTTAAAAGTAGGTAGAGGTTTAAAAAAATGTTTTTCTTTAATTTGAACACCAAAAAGAATAAAATAAAACGTAAGCATTTTTTCCCTTTAAAGACAAAAAAACAAATACGCGATGTTTTTTTTTATTACGGTCACTATAGTCTTTATTTTCCACTTGCCTAAACACGGAAAACTTTTATACAATTCAATAAATTCCTCGAGAAAATCGTGGGTGCATTGCTACAAATATGACATTATTAAGCTTTTTTGGTAAAAATGAAGCGAACTGCAGTGAAGCTAGTCGTCAACTGAGTCAAGATCGAACGACTTGTGTGAACATATATTTTCACGTAACGTTTTATCCTATCTAAAACTATGCTTTTCCCATCATTTCTGCGATCTGATCTTGGATTTCATTTTGAATCGACAAGACGTACGTTTTGCTGTTTACATGCCACGATTTAATGTATAGGGTTGATCCTATCCAACAAAACGTACAATAAGATGTAGCGTAAAAACCGGCCCTTAGTTGTCACGAGAGGAGCGACTAGGGCGATGAGTTTTGAATTCGTCCGCCAGGAAACCTATTGAGCTTCTAAGGAAGATAAACATTACTTTTTGCCTTTTGTATACTCTTCTTTACTCTTGTTGCTATTAAGTTTGAAATTTTTGTACCCAGTTGAACTCAATTAGGTGTTAAGAATGTTTTCACTGTAGTAGGGGTAACGAAAGATATCAGGATGAAAGATGGAATAAAGAAATTGGCCGCTGGAGACCATATACTGCAAATAGGTCAAAAAGTTGACCGCAAATGAGATGGAAAGATGACATTGAGCAAAGCGCAGGTCCAATGTGGAAAAGACAAACAGAAGACAGAGACAAATGGAGAAAAATGGGAGAGATATAGATAAATAGGAGTGCACACTAAAAATAATCCTTAGGATATATCTTGCGCTTGTGAGAAAATGAGCGTTTTGAAGTAATTCATAATTCTTGATGTCTCAGATTTTGTTACATATTATACCATTATTGATTTATTCTATTCTGGCATACACATACTGTTGCTTAGATGAAAATACAAGACAGTTAGGTGGCTATATCGAATATCGATAAATAAGGATATGGAAGCATGAATGAATTTTATTACATTACTGACAAATGACTCCCTTCTATATATTACAAAATTAACAAAAATGGTTTAAACGTGTTTTTTCTTTTTCGAGTGCTTCTCCCATTATGTGATAATGCGTGATTGTATGTAATATTTTAAGGTATTTACTCATCTGACTAATTAACTTAAGCTTCTACTTACTGAGTAAATATCTGTAAAGCTTCTATTTACTGAGTATGTTGGTTTTTTCAATAAAAATTTAATATTTGAGTACATATTTCGTTTGAACGTGAGGCCTTAAGTGCCTTTGACGAGTTAACTAATATTGTTATTTCTGATATTAATTTGTCAAATGTCATTTTTTGTAGTTATTATTTGATATGTGTCGTCTAAGGGTTTTTTTGGTTATTTTTTTTTCATATATGTGACTTAAATTACAATTTGTCTTAAAAAATACACAGAAGAAGGGTTATAATATCTTCATTTCTGTTTTAAAATTATTAATTCTTATATTTTTAAATTTACCTATTATACTTACATGGTACTTATGGATTCCGTTAGTCCTGAATCAAAAGTGAGAAAAAGTTTTCCTTTTTTAGTATAACCTCTGACTTCATTTCCAGACGCTATAAATATTTTGTCTGTAGGAGTTCCTAAAAGTCATATATTACAGTAGTACCTAGTAGTTTAGTTTAGATATTAAAGTGACATTTAATAATGTTGCCACCAACTCTAAAGTAATTAGTAGACGAGGCACGTGATAATATGCAAATGAATAAGGATAAGGGTATACTTGGAGAATAGGATAGAAATATCCAGTCTGGGTAAATCAACCATCATAGCAAGAGCAGGTGGAGGCTGTCCACAAGAAGGAATTCTACCACCTTTATTGTGGGCAACCTTGGTAGATGATCTTCTCAAAAATCTGTCCACAAAAGACTTGTACTGTGGAAGATACGATGACGATGTTGCAATCGTCGTCAAGGGCACATTCGTCCAGGTTGTATCTGGCAAAATGCAAGTAGCCCTAAATGTAATTGATAATTGGTGTAAACAAGAGTGACTGAGCTTCCATTTGCCAAAGAAGTAAAGTACCTAGGGGTATATTCTAAGGGTACTCACATACTGAAAACTACACAGAAATAGAGTACCTATAGTTTTCCTTGGGCAGATGTAGAAGAATGCGTGGAAAAAATTGGTTGATAAAAATCACAAAATGGTCTTTGGTTATACACAAGAGTTATTAGACCAATAATAACCTATGGTAACTTGGTGGACAAAGTCACAGTAAGTGGGTGCAATAATGCTACTATCTGGACAAAGCCAGATCTGTGATGCACAGATTAATACAGTCAGTAACACATAAGCCACGAGCATAGTGCTGACAATAGAAAGCTAATCGAGGAGCTAAAAGCAGATCTCGTAAAGGGGTAACCCATCGATGCAATCGCTACGAGATATAGCTTTGACAATAAATTCAAAATTAATATACCAGGCAGGGAAGACTGAAATAAAGGTGTAGCCATACAAGAAGAAGCTACCTGGTGTACTGATGGCTAAAAAACGGTAAGTTTTTTTCCAGTAAGTCTATCTAAGGATGTCACAATTTTCCAGGCGGACATAACGGCCATCCATTACTTCTTTTTCTTCGTATGTTAGGCCTTAAGGCCTGTTGTTTCTGGTCTGATTTAGCAGTATTTGTGATGTTGACTGCCTGCTATCTCTCCATCTTTTAGAGGGTTTGCCTTGTGGTCTTTTACCTTCTGGTTTTCTATCGCTTAATATTCTGGCAAGTTTCTCTCTTCCCATTCTGTTGATGTGTTGATTCCATTCTCGCCTTCTTTGGCGTTCATATCTGATGATATCATATACATTACACCTAAAGTTTTACTTATTATCGCTTTCAGTGTTTTCATCTCTGTTCTTCTAAAGATTTTATTTGTAATTATTTTCATTGTATCCTCATGTTATTATTTCTCCATATAACGACTTGTCGGCATCCTGACACTGGATTCCCTCGCAGATGTTTCCATAATACGATATTTACGTTCCCAGATAGTTGAATTTCGATACTCGTTCTATCATTTCTTCTTTTATTACACTTTTGTATCTCACTGGCTTTCTATAACGAGGGGCTTTGTTTTATTGCTCTGTTACCCATTTTGTACCCTGTTTCTGACGTTTTTACTTCTTTTATTAGTTTGTCCATTATTAAGTTAAACAATAACGGGCTCAAAGGTCTTGAGCGATATGGACGAAATTAAGAGAACCTAGATGAAATATTTTATGGAATTACTAAACAAAGGGACACAACCACCATTACAATAACAGAGGCAGCAGCATGCACGGCAAGAGGTACAACAACAAGAGCTGGGGGAAGGTGGAGAACAAAATGAATTAACTATGTAGACCCCCAACGCTAGAGGAGGTCCAAACGGCAATCCACATACAAAAAAGCCATAAAGCACCGGGAATAGATAAAATACCGGCAGTACTACTCAAGCAAGGAGGAAGGAATCTTACACAACAGATGTACCAGCTAATACGAGAGATATGGATAGAAGAAGAAATCCCCCAACAATGGAAGAAAAGTATAATCTGCTCTATTCATAAAAAAGGAAACAACCTGTTGTGTCAGAATTATAGAGGCATCTCTTTACTTTGTTCGGGATACTCACAAACATTAATGGAAGACTTCAACCTCTCACGGAAAAAATCATCGGAGAATATCAAGCAGGGTTTAGGTAAAATAGATCTACCATTGACCAACTATTTACAGTTAAACAAATACTAGCGAAAGCATGGGAATATGACGTTGACGTTTACAACCTCTTTGTAGATTTTAAACAAGCCTATGATTCAATAGATAGAACAATTCTACCTAATATATTGGAAGAATTTATCAAAATTAATAAGACTAGTATAAATAACAATGACAGAAACAGAAGCACAGGTATGTATTCAAGGACCGATCACTGATGCGTTTACGATAACGCAAGGACTGAAACAAGGCGACGGACTGGCTCCAATGCTCTTTAATCTTGTTCTTGAATATGTAATTAGACGGTTGACGGTGAGCGGAATAAACATACTTACAAACAAATGTACCCAATTAGCAGCATACGCAGATGATATAAACATAATGAGCAGAACAGTGAATGCAGCGGAAGCAACCTAAGTTGAGTTGAAACAGAGTGCAGAAGCAGTAGGGCTAACAATAAATACAAATAAAACAAAACTAGTCATACAAACCAGATCAAATACACCGACACAACAACACTTTATTGACGATATAGAACATGTGAATAGATTTTCATACGTAGGAATGGATCTGGTCGTAAGCAATGAAGAAGAATCGGAAATAAATAGAAGGCTTGTGCTGGCAAATAAAGCCTATTTCGCAATGGACCACATATTCAAATCGCTAGACGTACATCGAAAAACAAAACTTCGAGTCTATAAAACAATAATCAGGCCCATAGTAAGTTATGATTGTGAAATATGGGTGGTGACACAGAAATCTGCTTATGCATTAGATGTGTTAAAAGAAAAATATTACGTAGGATACTGGGCCCAATAAGTGAAAACAACAACTGGCGGATTAGGTATAATAGAGAAATATACGAGCAATACAGCGACCAACACTAGCACAATACACTAAACTGCAGAGATTACGGTGGGCAGGGCATGTGGTCCACATGCATGAGACTAGAATCCCAAGAAAATTACTAAATGCAAGAATGCAGGGAGAAATACCTGTTGGAAGACCTAAAAACAGATGGGAAGACGAAGTCGATGAGGATGCCAGGAACTGCCTGGGAATGCGTTCATGGAAAAGAACAGCGGTAAATCGAAATGATTGAAGAAGCTTGTTGAAGGAGGCCAAGGCCCGATTTGGGCTGTAGTGCCATTGGATGGATGGATGGATGGGCTCAAGCTGTCACCCTGTTTTATACCTGATTGAATGTTGATTTCTTGCGTTAGTTCGGTTCCTATTTTTATTCTTGTTTTGTTATCAGAGTTAATATCTTTTATTATCTGTGTTAAAGGGGCTGTTATAGTCTCTTTGCGTAATAGTTCAATCACATCTTGTAGTCTAATACAATCGAAAGCTTTAGTGACGTCGATAAAATACATGAACGTAGGTGTATTAAATTCTATCGCTTTCTCTCCTATTTGTCTTATTACGAATATGGCATCGACAGTTGATCTGTTACACCTAAGCCCTTGATGTGCTTCGCATATCTGATGTCTTTGAAACTGGTGGCAAGCAACGTAATAGCTCGATAGTTAGATGGGTCATTTTTGTCCCCTTTTTTTGTATATATGGATCGTTATACTTAATTTCCAGTCCTTTGGTATACATATCATTTCAAGAATCATTTCGAATAGTTTCGTAATATTTTCTGTTGATGCTTTTCCTCCATGTTTTAGTGGTTCATTCGTAGTCGTATATGAACCTGAGGCTTTTCGGTTTTTTAATCTTCCTATATTCTCTATCATCTCTTCTTCTGTTATTGTTACCAGCTCGATAGTAATAGTATATAGGGTGAAGTAAGGTATATTCGTGATATAAGTAAATTCGTGATAAATTTCTAATAATTCGTCACGATCTAGCCTATTGCCTTATAGCAGCAGTTTTGTTGCAGTCTCTAGCGAAAAGACTCGACAACCTTCCCCACCACTGCAAGTCAAATTGCGAAGCTCTGTTGAACCGGGATAAAACTTATTTTTCAGTGTTATTCCTTGTGTTGACGAGAGAGCTTGAAATCTGAAGTGCATTCGTTGTTTTATTATTTATGGTGAATATTGCAAAGGTAAGTTTGTAAAAATTACGTATGATGTTGTTTATAAGTTGCTTAGTACCCCCGTTAAGTTATACAGGCAATTTTCGCCAACAGTTTTCTGAAATAGCTTAAGTTGTGAGGCGGTTTTCTTACGCATTTTAACGTTTGTTTGCGCGGGAAAATGTAACTAATTATTCGCGGTGTATTTACTCTAATTTTATTTGGATTTTTATCATAGATATAATAAATATGTGAACTATAAATATTAAATAATAAATATTATGAAGATTTTCTAACATCCAGGGTATCACGAACTTACCTGTGTCTTTTTTTTTAGAATTCAAAATGCCTAAAATATGCAAAGGAAAATATCGCCAATATGAGATCTCCGATTTATTAGAAGCCTCAAGACTTGTAAGAGTAGAGAAACTATCCATCTACAAAGCAAGTAAACAAAGTGGAATAGCCTGGAGTACACTGAAAGATTTTTTAAGTAGAAATGAAGATGACAATCACCAAGTTGCCAAACTAGGAAGGCCGTTTGCTCTTACTGCAGAAGTTGAAATTCAGTTGTTTAATTACGTTATAAAAATGCAAGAATTGGGTTTTGGTTTGACGGTGCAGATGATAAGAAAGATAGCCTTTCAACTTGCACAACGTACGGAGAGAGATCACTTCTTCAATAAAGAAAACGAGTCTGCTAGTAAATGGTGGTGGGCTCAGTATAAAAAGCGATTCAATCTAAAACTGCGTGTTCCTGAAAATTTGGCTGCATACAGGGCTTCAATGTAAAATAATGAAATACTGGGGGATTTTTATACAAAATTAGAAACATTAATGGTTAGACTTGGAGTTCAGAATAATTCCGATCGTCTCTGGAATTGCGATGAAACCGGACTATCTTATGTGGTCAAACCAAGTAAAGTCGTTACCTCGGTTGGAAAACGTTATGTCTACAAAAGAGCATATGCAGATAGAGGCGAATCTCAAACCATGATGGGATGTATTTGTGCCAATGGAACATGGATTGCACCGTTGATAATTTTCAAAGGGGTTCGATGAAAGGATAATTTAAAGAAAGATTGCCTACCAAATACACAAGTAAAACTTTCTCCAAAAGGATGGATCAACAGTGAGATCTTTTTGGAGTGGTTTCAATTTTTTATTGCCTTAATTCCCTCTGCCCGACCAGTAATTTTATTAATGGATTCCCATGCATCACACATCAATCCGGAAGTTATATCTCTTGCGTCTCACAATGGTGTTTATTTATTTACATTTCCAGCCCACACTAGCCATCTGTTACAGCCACTTGATGTAGGTGTTTATAAGTCATTAAAGGCTCATTGGGCCAAAAGCTTAAATGTTTATATGAAAGATAATGCAGAGAAGCCCAATAGAACCAATTTTCACACCATTCTAAATCCGGCATACATTTCAAGTTTTTCCGCATCAAACATTACAAATGCGTTCAGAAAATCTGGGATATGTCCCTTTGATAGCAATGCCATTCCTAAGGAAGCTTTTGCACCTTCTCTACTCGCTTCTAATGAGATACCTAATCAACGTGCAGGAGCTCCCACGCAACAAAATCCATTTAGCAACATATTGTCTCTTCCAACAAAGCCAGTTGCTGCAAATCCGAATAGAAAGAAGCGCGATTCAAGAGCAAAGTGCCTTAATTCTGAAAGTGGTGTGCCTTCTTCAATAAGCGATACAGTATCTACGTCATCACCATGTGTATTAGGCCTCAATCCTGAAAGTGTTATTCCTTCTTCACCAATTCATGCACCATCTACGTCATCATCCTGTGTTCTAGCCCCAACCAATAAAAAAAGCGGTTTCTGAAGATAATGACTGGGATTGCGGAATGTGTGGTAATAGTTATTCACTAGATGTCAAAAGAAAAAATGGTGCCAAGTGAGTCCAGTGTTCCTACTGCCTGATTCCATACCATGTTATGTGCCAATCGTCTGATGCCGAAGAGGATGTTTTTATGTGCGACATGTGTGGAAACAATGAAGACACCATTAATGATTCTGAAGAAGATTAAGTTATTTGTCTACCACCTGTTTTTGTTTTTAATTAATTTGGTTTTGTTTTATTTTTTCAAAATATGGATTTACTTTTCTTGTAAAGAATTTTAATTTTGTTTTTATTTGTTAAGAAATTACCTAATTTTACCTAATAAATGAATTTTTATTATTAAAAAAATTTTATGCACACAAATTGGATTGTCACGAATTTACCTTACCTCTATCACGAAATTGAATATCCATGTCACGAAATTACCTTACCTGAACAAAATTTAAAAAAATACATAAATTATTAAACTTTATAATATTTTACACAAAATAGTAACTTGCAGTTGTTACTGAATGATAAGTCTCCTTTTTGGTAATATTTTTACGGTATAAAATTAAAACCTTTAACCGCATTAATTAAATAACCTATAATTATCACGAATATACCTTACTTCACCTATTACTAATATCTAGTAATTCTATAAATAAAAACTAATATCTAGTTAACAAAAAAAGAAATACATGGTTATAAGCAAAAATTGGATAATATCGCTTAGTGCTAAGGTGTATGGAAAAAAGAGGTTTCTAAAGAATAGAATATTCTGGTTGCATAACCTACGAAAATGATTTGACTTGACCATTTTTGGACTTTAGGCAGTAGTGTTTAACATATGTAACGGATAGGTATCATAGAAAGGAGAATATTTCGTTGGGAATACAGAACGTATATGGTAGGCCGCCCCTAAAATAACCGTTGGTGATATTGAAAGCCTCCATTTCGGTGTGGACCGATGCCGTTTTGGCAACAGCTGTGTAGTTGAATGGATTTTGTATGGTATAATCCATAACCATAGTTTCAAACAAATAACACCGAACAACCCTTCATCATCTACGATGTTGCGCTTCCATTTCCCATTGTTGTGGTTGTTAATAGTTATGTTCTATCTAACTTTTGGTTTTGGATTTTTGGTTACTAGCATGTATTTCATCTTCTCTTCATTTATTCGAAGACTCAGACTACCTGTTTCTTCCTTCTTCTTCATGTGCCTTGTCCGGTCCGAACGTTGGCAATCAACATAGCTATTCTGACTTTGTTTACGGCAGATCTGAATAGTTCAGCAGATGACAATCTGCTTGTCGAGTGTCATCAATCTGAGTCGAGCTTGCACGAGTGTCTTCTCCCTGGACCCCTTCTGCTGTGTATTTTCCCTTGAACGATCAGCTGTAGTACTCTATATTTATTATGTCTCATAACGTGAATCAAGAATTCCAACTTTGTTTTCTTTATACTTATTCCTACCTCTCTCTCTTTACCTATCTGGCGTAGTACCTCTTCGTTGGTCACGTGCTCAGTCCAGGATATACGTAATATACGTCGGTAAGCTCACATTTCGAAGGCCTCTACTTTTTTCATCAATGTTGCGGTCATTGTCCACGCCTCCATTCCATATAACAAAACCGGGAATACATAACATTTCAGAAGTCGAATTTTGAGAGGTAGGGTGAGGCTTTTAGAGGTTAAAATTTTCTTCATGCTAGTGAACGATGCTCTTGCCTTTTCTACTATTATACGTATTTCCTTCGCTTGATCCCAATTTGAGTTAACTGTTCTTTCATTGTCTAATATCAGTTGCTGTGGTGGTTGTTGGGTTTTGCTTACTAACATCCATTTGGTTTTTGTGATATTTAGTCTGAGTCCGTATTGTGCACTTGTTTTTTGTATCTTACTCATTAAGCAACTCAGTTCCTCCATGCTAATTGCTAGAATCACAGTGTCATCAGCATACCTTATGTTATTAATTATTTCTCCATTTATCTTTATGACTTCTGTGCTTACCTCCAGCGCTGTCTTAAATACTTCTGAGTATATATTAAAGAGAATTGGAGACAAGATACATCCCTGTCGTACCCCTTTTTTGATCTCAAGTTTATTGGTCAATGTAGATCCTACTTTTACTTTAGCTGTTTGACCCTAATAGAGACTCGCTATTGTTCGAATGTCTCTGTAGTCGACTACGATCTTATGGAGAACTTTAATTATCTTTTCGTGCTTTACGTTATCGAATGCTTTTGCGTAGTCTATAAAGCATATGTACACGTCTTTGTTCATATCTCTGCAGCGCTGGATGAGTATCTGTGGACTAAAAAGTGCTGCTCTTGTCCCAAGAGAATTCCGAAACCCAAACTGCGAATCTCCAATGTTATCCTCGCATTTTTTGCTTATTCTGTTGTAAATAACCTTGGTGTATGCCTTCGAAATGTGGTTAATTAGACTTATCATCCGATGTTGATCACAAGACTTTGCTTTTGGTTGTGAATACCTCTCGCACATCTCTTGCAGAATGAGCTACTGCATCTAGATCATTATCAAAGGCCAACAATATTTTTCATCCTCGATTCGCAAATCCCCTGTCAGCTCAGACGATATTTTACTAATTGCATATTCTAAGGCTAAATTTAATAGAAATTGTGATAAGGAGTCTCATTCTCTATGGTATCCATGTTCTGTTTCCTATATATACCTGTGCATATGAGTTTGTCAAACACGTTCGAGTTAGCTCCCTAATTTTCTTGATTGGATACCATTGGTAGCCATAGTTTACTAAACAAAACACATATCTACGAATAAATACACTGTCATAGCTAGGTGAGTTCAGTATCAGGAAAAGGTAAAAAATAAGTTTGAGATGTTTTTTACAATTAGATATTATTAATATAAGAGGCTTGCTTAAGGATTGGGACTATAATAAATCTTTCCGTCGAATTTTAATACAATATAACTGAATAACTTCTGTAATCTAATTATTTATTGACCTTGTCACCTTTTACCCATCACCGTGTATTTGACTAAACTAACCTGAAGCCCCAGCAACTTTAACTGACACTATAGGTTGGCCTGGTAGAGTCTTAAAGTGAATCTGGATGTCCTCCTTTTTCACAGAAAATACCTGCAAAATTCCATCGACGTCAGCAACAGCTACCTACAAAAATATTGTTATAGAGTTCTCGTCTCGAATCAAACAGAATAAAATAGAATAAAGTAAAATAAAATAAAACAAAATATAATTATAATTATAATTATAAGTTATTATTATAATTATAAATAAACTTAAAATAAAATAAAATAAAATAGAATAAAATATATTAAAATCAAATAAATAATTTTATTGTTATCATTAATGTGTTGCTTGTGTGAGTCCATTTCAAAACAAACAAAAAAAACTCATTTTCTCCAATTCAGAGATGTAGTGCTATTAAGTCCCCCTTTTTTAAATTAAATGTCTGTTTTGTCCTTTTAAGTGGGTTCTGTTTGTCCCTAAGTGTCCTTAATTGTTTTAGTTTTAATAATTTTAACATACTTGACTTTACAATCATCTGCCAAATAACAGTTGAGTTAGCTAATTGAACTTTATCAATGGAATTTGATAATTACAAGTTAAAGGAATTTGCACACCCACCCAATTGTACATCTAATTTCATTCATTGTCATACAACTATCACCTTAATAAAAAATTTCAATAAATAACACACATTTCGAAAATATATCTTTTGAATAAATATAAATAACTTTTAAAAATTGAAAGTTAAAAAATTAATTAAATAATACAGAACATCACTTTCATTTAACAAACAATCACGTTACACCTATTTTCTACTTCATTGGAATAAAATATATCTCCTCAAGAGACTTTTCCGTTGATTGTCAAACAGTTACAATAGTAAAAACTGAAGATTCCCATCATCAGCAATTACAAGATCATTTGAACTTTGTTCTCCCAACCATTAATTAATTGTGTACCGGCATCATTTAATTAACTTTGTGTCGAGAGGCCTGAAGATGCTTTGCAAATTGTAGAAAGCGAAACTGGTCGTCTAGATAGTTAAATTAAACTAATAGTGAGTAAGTCTTATTTATTATTTCTTTTACCTAATTTTATCGTTATTGGCAAGGATCAGATCGTAGTATCTCTAGCGTTGGCTTCGTCTGGAATATCTGCAACTTTATTAGAAGGCAAACGAATTGCACATTGAATTTTCTTTTAAATTATAATTAAACATATAATATAATGAACACCAGATTGCAACATCCCCAAAAATAGAGCAGCGTCGAAGATTTTTCAGGTATGCAAATTAATCGTTTTGTATGAATGTACATTGGCCCACAAGAATTGGCTCCAGGTCGATGACATTGGATAAAGTTTATTACTTTAAGGACTACATGTCTCCCTGCTCGATTTTTAAACAGTGGTACTTGTCAGTTAAAACGGCAATTGTCGTTTTAATTGAAAATAGCGATTAATGTTAGAGAATATTTTATTAATTGTCTCCTTTTAAATTTTGTTTATTAATTTACATAAAAGTATAAAATAATTAATTGGCAACTGTCGTTTTTTTAGCAAATAAGGGAAGTGCGGGTATTGCCGTCCACTTAAGCAATTTGTTGAATTAAACAAAAACTATAGGTCTTGAAACAGAATTTCAACTGTCAAAATACAGTCATGTTATCGACTTCTAATTGTTTAAGCCTGAAAGTGTTGATTTATTTTATTTTGCGGAGTATTACATTTATATTCACAAACCTACACTCGGGCGGAATTATCCAACCATGCGGGTAATTGCGCCCAGTGATGGTATAATACCCCCCATGGTTACATTATATGAAAATCAAACACAAAATAATTATTTGCTCACAAACAACATCTATATATTTATTATGTAAAAAAAAAACATATTCAAAGAACTACTTAATTAAAAAAACGAATATAAAAACATTTAAAACTACACTCTATTTGCAATAATCGCATATAAAAGTTTTGTGATTATCATAACCCCTGCATTCCTTATGCGCCCATTTATGGCAAACTCCGCATCTGTACCACATTTCAGATTTTCCATATTCACCACAATACATGCATTCTTCTTCTATGTCGCTGTTGGGATCATCGGAACTATGATCGTTGCAAGTTTCCATTTCATCGTGGGATGAAGCACTTGAAGAACTATCGTCAAACTTGACTTTCCTCGTGGCGCGTTTTACTTTTTTGCTGACGTTTTTGACAGGAAGTTTTTGCTTTCCTTTCTTCTGTAATTTTCTATTCTCTTTCTGCTCCAGTTCTATTTTTTCTGTAGTTGTAGTCAAAATCTTTGAAATGCCGAATTTTCTACCCCTCTTTTTTATTTTATTTTCATTCACTACGCACAACGGTGTCATTTGTTCAATAGATATATCTCCTTATCTCTCGTTTATAAGCTCCGATTTTGATGATGAAGGAGCGACATCTGCCTGAGCTTCGATGACTTTTGATGTACATACTTGAAATAACATCAGGTTCATTTATTTCCAAGACTGCATCTTTTGAAGGTACTCGATTTGGTTTGGATGTATAGGGAGTAATAATTCCTTTCGACAGCGGGAATGTTAGAAAAGGTAGAAGGCAAAAAATGTCAGAACTAGTGGCTGTAGCTTATGGGACGTGTGGGGCGGAAACGATAATATAATGATCCCATTTTCACGTCAAAATAAAGAACATATGCAGATAAACAACAATGACTGCTGTGATTATCAAGCAACAGCAATGCTGGGTTGTCCTTAGAAGTAGATGCGTGTTTATTAAAATGCTTAAGCCAAATTAAGAATACATCTTCATTCATCCAGCCTTTGGCCAAGCATTCATATATGGCACCTACCGGTCCATTGCGTTTGAGCTGATCCGACACTCGGATTCTAGGATAAATAAACATCGGTGGTATATATATCCCCGATGCACTTACTGAGCAGCACACAGTTATATTTCGACCTCTCTCCCAACTTACAGCTTTTCCAAGTTGTTTGACACCTTTTGGGGTTATAATTTTGGATGGCACCTGCACCGTGGTAATACCTGTCTCGTCGACATTAAATATACGGCAGGCTTGAAAGTTATATTTTGTTAAGACTATATTTAAATTTGTGAAAAAAAGGCCTACACTTTCAGCATTAAAACCCGAAATTCTCCCTAAACTGGGTGCCTCGAGTTTCCTCAAACTAAGATTTGGATGCCGTTTTAAGAAAGCTTGAAGCCAGTCTTTACCGGCCATTTTTTTGTCATCATTGAAGTCATAGCCGCTGGGCGGTAATACCCGCATTTCCCCTAATTGTGTTACGCCAAATTTGATAAGTACAAAAAAAAATATTGCACCAAATGTGGTAAGTACATGTATTTCAGATAATTTTTCAAAATTTTTAATACTAATTTATCAAATATCACAAATTTGCATTTTCATGATTAAAATAACACTACGGCCTAATTTAGGAAAGCATATTAGATATACTATACTCTGTTTTTTAACCAGGAGGAGTAAACCAAAAAGACAGATTCACACTTAAGAAAGCTACTAGAAAAGTCACCAAATACACCTTTTTTTTTTTGTTGATTATCTCGGCCTTGCGGTAATCGAGTAATCAATATTGGACAACCTCACACGTCAATTTTACCTAACTTTCTTTATTTATGTTTGAATAATAAAATAATTTTTTTCAATTCACTTCCAATATATATTACAATTATTACAATAAAAAAGGACGTTTTTCACATTTTGTCCCATGTATATATATATATATATATATATATATATATATATATATATATATATATATTTAAATATCGGGTGATCCAGTTTTATAGATCCCTTGAGTCTATGGTATTTAATTATAATTTAGAGAATATTTTGATCGGGAGAGTCAATAATGTTACAGATCTAAGTATGGTTTTTCTCAGAAATTTGTCTTTTAATAGTAGAACATATTCTTATTCTGGTATGATCAATTTCTTGAATCTAGTTTTTTTCTTACCAGATACTTTGTATAAATAAGTGTGTACTTACAATTTCTTTAATGCTGGATTCTTGTTTAATTTTGACAGTGAGTTTGTGTTTTTGACATTTGTTATCAACAAATAAAATTTACTAAAAAAATACTGGATTTCTATGAGATAATCAACAAATCCAATCTATTATGTTACATTCTTGCATAATTTTGCAGTTTTCTTGTGATGATCTACAACCAGGAAGAACAAAACCATAACTGTATCATACAATCAAACTAAAACACATTACTTTACTAATGTTCTTTTATTGTGATGAAAACAAAATGGAAATGCTTCTTAACAAGTATACACTAAATTTAAAAGATAGTTGCCGTTTTTCTTATGATAATTAAATATAAATAACATACATTTATAAATTTATAAACACTTTAAAGTATATTTGGTATAAATATCATCTGGAAAAATATCACATTAAATACTATTCGCATATCACCAAGTCCAAGTTATTACAAACAACTTAAAGAGTCAGAAATGGATTTATATATTAAATATTAGAGGAAAATAATAATAATAAATAAATTTCACAAATGTCATTAGTGACAATATGTCATAATTTAGTGGAGTAAACTTGCCTACGGTTGGACCAATTGCAAACAAGCATTACGGCGCGGAAAATTTGAATTACTCCTCCTGGTTAAAAAACAGACCATAGCACATTACTATGAATTATGGCGAACTAATGAACTTTAAAATTTTCAAGAACCCAAATCATATATTTTTGCACTTACAACATTTGTGTACTAGACCCATCGAGCAAGATACATGTCAGTATTGATAGATTAACATGACGACATAGTTGTAGATGTACCATATAGAATAGAATACAATAAAACAGAATTAAATACAATAAATTTAAAATAAAATAAAATAAATTAGAATAAAATGAACTAAAGCAATTACTATTTTAATTTCCTCTTCGCAAATCGTTCTCAAAATAACTAACATTAATAAATTAAACAAATTTTGTTTTTGTTACTTGGTGATTATTGGTTATTCTTCTAATAATTTAATTTTATCTGACTGATTCATATTGACAATCAGGCATATATATTATACATTTTTAAATATGAAAAGAATTTGTTTCACTTCCAGAAAAAAAAATGCAACAAATATTGTGAACACTGAAGAATTAGTCTTATGAACCACAGAATTATTAGTGATTCAAAGTTTGGATTTCGGAATGGAGTGGGCACAAGAGAGGCCCTATTTTCTTTTAACATGCTGACCCAAAGATGTTTGGATGTTAATCGAGATCTTTATGTATGCTTTATAGACTACAAGGCATTCGATAAAGTAAACCATGACCTACTTATAGAAGTACTCAAAAACATGAATCTGGATGTAACATTGATATCAAATTTATACTGCAGCCAACGATCAAATGTGAAAATTGGAAGAGAAGTGTCAGAAGAAGTGGAGATAAGGAGAGGGATCAGACAAGGTTGCATAATGTCGCCGTTATTGTTTAATGCTTAATCTGAAGAAATCATACAAGCAGCTTTGGTAAACGAGACAGTCGGTATAAAAATGAACGGAAGTTTAATTAACAACATTAGGTATATGACGATACAGTCATAATAGCCGACAACTTGGAAGACTTAGAAAGAATAATGAACAAAATATTAAGATATAGTGGAGAATACGGACTCTCTCTTAACATCGATAAAACCAAATTCATGAAAATTAGCAAGAACAACAATACACACGAAATATTAACGGTAGGCAACCAGCAGATTGAGAGAGTAAAAAGATATACTTACTTGGGAACGATAATCACAGAAAATAAGGACTATACTACAGAGATAAGAGTCAGAATTGAAAAAGCACGTGCCAACTTAGTAAAAATGAAAAAGATTTAACCTATATATTTAAAATGAATAACCTACATATGTCAAATTTACCTCTAAAATCTAATAGATAACATAAAAAACTCATTGTCTCCAAGACTGAGATGTAGTGTATAAAAGTCCTTCCCCTTTTAAATTTAATGTTTGTTTCGTCCCTTCTAAGTGTTTTATGTTCCTGTGTGTTTAAATTGTCCTTAATGGTTTTAACTTTAATATTTTTATATAATTGACTTTGCAATAGTCTACCATTTTGCCAATAGAACTTTATCAAAGAAATTTGATAATTACAAGTTGAAAGAATTGCACACCCACACAATTTGTACATCTAATCTTTTTCATTGTCATAAAACTGTCACCTTCATAAAATAAATACTCAATAAATAACACACATTTCATAAATATATCTCTTGAATATGTATAAATAAATTTTAAATAATACAATGGTATATAACATCACTTTCATCTAACAATCACATTGCACCAATCTCTACTTCATTGGATCAAATTTATCTCCTCAAGAACTTCCCGTTTATTGTCAAACAACTACAATAGCAGTCTTAAGTTCTTCATTCAACAATACATGATAGTTTCAACCATGTTCTACCATCCATCAATTAATAGAGTACCGGCATGTAAGTAATGTTTTATTTATTTGCTCATCTATTAATTTATTACAATCTAATAGACTATTTTATAACAATTTGTGGGTCTTACCTTGTCTATTAAAACTTTTTATACCTTTTTATTCATTTTAAAAAACCACAGACATGTAATGGCATAATTATTGTAATTTTATAACATATACTTTGTTTATCTTTATTAGACAACACCCTAATATGGGTTTATTATTATTTCAGCATTTATTTAACTTTGTATCGAGACCTGAAGATGCTGTGCATATTGTAGAAAGCGAAACCGGTCGTCTGATAGTTAAATTAAATTAGTTGTGAGTAAGTCTTATTTATTATTTCTTTACCTATTTGAAATGGACTCACACAAGCAACACATTCATGATTTGAAAAAGATTTTATGCAGCAAAGATCTGACATTGACCCTCAGAATAAGGCTAATTAAGTGCTATGTACACAGTGTTGTCTACTATGGAGCTTAATCATGGACATTAAACCAGAATACAATAAATCGACTTAACGTGTTTGAAATGTGGACATTTAGAAGATTGTTAAAGATTTCAGGGGTGATAGAGTCACGAATGCAGAAGTGTTAAGGTGAATAGGCAGAAAAAGGGAAACGGAAAATATAATACAAGAAAGGAAATTGTAATATCTCGGACATGTAATGAGAGGCGAAAGATTCAACATGTTAAGACTCATAATTTAAGGAAAAAAAAAGAGGGTAGGAGAAGCGTAGGAAGAAGACGCGTTTCTTGGTAGAAGAACCTGAAAGAGTGGTTTGGTTGTAGCTCTACGCAATTATTCAGAACAGCTGCCCCGAAGGTCAGAATAGCCATGATGATTGCCAACCTTCGTCGCGGAGATGGCACTTAAAGAAGAAGAACCACAGAAAAACAGACGTATGAAGGCCTCGAAGAAGATGGCAAGACAAGAATAAGCTGGAAGCATATTCCTTGAAGTAAAGAAGAAGAAAAACAATGACAACCAAAAGGAATGATGTTTTTTAAAGATAGTAAAATTAAACAAAAAAAAAATGAATATCATTTTGCAACAGTTTTTTTTCGTATGTGATACCGATTTACCAAATGGATTTATGTTGACATGCAAACCGTACTATTAGCCAATAATGCAATATTGGCTAGTACAAATAAAATATATTTGACTCTAAAATATCGTAAATAACGTAACTTACCCTTTGAGGTTCTTTCGGTTGTGCAGGTATTAGTTGCAAGCAGTTCGGATTTGTTATTCCTATTATTGTGTAGTCCACTCTCGTCAGTTCTAAACCAGATACAATATTATTCATATTATTTATAATAGAGATAAAGAATTTACAAATTATATTTGAAAATATTATATATAGAAATCATTTGTTATGAGTGAAAAGAGGTCGATATTTCCATAACAACCGACGGTAACAACAAGTATTGTGAACATAATTTAATAACCGTGTTACGTCATTTTTGCCATATTGAAGAAGGTCAATTAGGGGAAATAGAAACGAGGGGTAAATAAAAACAGCTCAAACTCTCTATTCAAACATCCCGCTTATTAATATACAGCATGTCTGTTAGTTGTAGCGGCAACACTGATCCTAACATTCTATAATTTTTCATGGCGGTTATTATTTACTATACTATAATTGTGGCTAGTAGAAGCATAGTAGAATAAGCCCAAATTGAATGAATGGAGATAAATGGGTTTAAAAATAGAACAAAATTTTCATTTAGCTTTATGATTTAGTTTCGGAATATTTTTATTCCCACTTATTTTTGTATGTATCAAATGAGGCATAGTAATTATTTAATACCGCAAAATGTATAGTAGCAACAGTTGTTTCAATTTTAATTTGGGTTAGTCCACTTTGTTGAACTGCAGTTGTACCAAATTCAGTGAAGCAATAGTATGAAATAAGGAAGTTTTTATTGTTAAAACATATTGATAATACTAATATTACATCAAACTAAAAAAATATAAATTCAGTCATCTACCAAATTCTATCATTGAATTCTACCAAAAATGTAATATGATACAGGATTCTCCGTTTCCATCTTATATAGCTCATAGAGTTAATCCATGCCCAAATCGGGTGATAAATATTTTCTGTTGCTACTTTTTTCTCTAAAATAATGTGATTCATAGCTTGGAGATCAAATAACTTTACTTCAGTCTCCTTATCGGTTGTTGTCTTATTGGCTGGAGGATGCTTTCCACGACGATCGGAAGGTGGAGGTGATCCTACTGCTTTATTTTTCAAAAATCTGTCCAGTATACCAGCAGACAGTTGCAACACAGCTTGAAAAAAATATTTGCAAACCTTTTGATCTTCTCCGTTTTCATTTGGTAAAATATAAATCCTCGTTTTCTCTCTTCTGGAATTTTGGTTGGAAGTATATGTACGTAATTTATTTTGAACTTTTATTAAAGAATATAAGTAAGATGTTTGCAAATTGAACGTACCCAGAGAATAGAAATGTGTATGCAAATCTCTTTGACGATCATGTGAAATTAAACTTGTTCATTTGAGTTTACAGCTGCAGTCAACAGCGTTGAATGTTTTGGCTTTAACAGTTTTATTCAATTTGGTTTTATACTCCATACCAGAAAACCGTTTAAATTTGTTAGAGTTCCTTTGCCATGTTTCAGTTTTACGAACTCGCTTTTTAGGTTTGAATTGCTTCGATGTCGTTGGTGTATTCTCTGTGACGGGCAATTTCATTTCATCATCAGTAGGCACGTACTCCGATCCAGAATCTTGATATGGTTCCGATAATCTAGATAATCTACTTTCAGTCAGTGCAATAGTGGACTAAGCCACAAATAAATATAAACAACATAACCTACAAAATAAATGGTTTTAGGTATAACCTTATTTCTATTTATTTCTTACTTAATAATAAAATAATAAATGCTATTACCCACCTTCGATAGAGCTCATTGTACTTAAGATATTTACGTTCACAATGAATCTGCAATTTGCACAATATTCAGATCTTAACGTAATCCACAGTATTCTCACGCGGGAAAACAGTAAAAGAGCACTACACCATATATAAATCCAAAGTGGACTAAGCGTACGTAGTCCACTTTGCATTTCTAAGATCGTGAAATAAATTAAACGCTAAAAGTAGTATAATGCTGCCATTTAACAATCAAGTACTGAAGGTGTCTTGGTCGACTTTGCATTCGATAGATGTTTGTTTTACCGATTGAATGGTACGTTAAAATTAAAACTGCCAATTTGTGGGTTAGTTCACTATGTTTCTAGTAGCCTCAATTAGACGAGCAAATAAAGCAAACGAATCAAAGAACTTCTTTTTCATTATTAAAAACATATGTTTAGAGGAAAGGCACCAAATTTGAGACACTTCTTTTGAAAAACATATATTAAACAGAATATTCAAACGTTTTTAAAACATTTATTTCGAAAACTTAAATTTAAGGTTTCTAGAACACAAGAAACAAAAAATAAAGCAAATAAAACATTTCTTTTTGCAAAAAAATACATTTAATTGTTTTTGCGACATTTAGTATTAAAAATAAGAGGTGCAATAATTTGGGATAGCCAGGTATCTAAACTTAAGACAGGTACCTTAATTGAGACACTATTCAAAAAAGCTCTTTCCTTCGCAGAAAAGGCAAATAAATGTGCTGGACTTTATTTCTCCAGTCTTCATGTGCCCACCTGCCACATTGGTAACACTTTGCCCATCGTTCGCCATATCTATCGTCGGAAAATTTGCTGGTGCAAAATAAACATTCCCCGTCGTTTTTTCTACCTTCGTTCGACGATGAATCAGCTAATGGAAAGTCTTCACTGCTATCTGAGCTTGAACTCGAAAAAACTTTCCACTTCCTTCTTGATGTTTTGTCTTTTGATGTAGAACGTTGACCTACGTCTTCATCTACTATTTCTTCTTCGGGCAGTGCTGTTTTTTTATCTAACACCTTTTGTTAAACTGTTTTTTTTGCGCAAATACACAATCCAAGTTTTGCTGGGGTACTAGTTTCTTTGCATTTTTCTTCTGTAAACTTTGCTCTAATTCTTCTTTGTAGGGTGTTAGAGTAATTACTGAAGCCTTTTCTGATCTCGCATGTGGTTTTAGCAGTATCTCTCTTGTAGAATGTTAGGGATTGGACAGATGTCTTTCGGAGAAACAAGTTATTGATGAGGTAGTGGTGGACTAGGAGTTCTATGTTCTCGCATTTGATGGTTTAGTTGTTCATAGTTTGGTTCTATGATTTGTTCGTCTCTTTCGTTTTGTGTTTATAAGTGCTCTTGAATTTTAAATTCAAAGTCCCTAAAAATTTGGCGACAAATAGGGACCAGTCCAGTTTTTCGGAAACCATGTAGCATTTGCAATTCATTGATTTTTTGGTGTATATTGAAATCCCCTCGTATATGTAATATATTGAAATCCCCTCATAAATGTTTGAAAAATCGCAGAATATTTTTTAATCTATTTTAGTTTCCTATTTGTACGTATTAAAACACCGAATTCTTTCAATTTAAAACCCAAATAATATTTCGTTCTTTTCAGCGCCGCCAAGTAATAAAAACCATTTTAGAGTTTGTTTATATTTTACAGATGTTACTTTCTCGGCATTGTCTTTTAATGTTTTATTCGAAGTCGCCTTATAATTTTTATACGTCGTATAAATGGAATCTTTTACGTTTTAATTTTCGTTATGTTTTGTTATTTCAGCGTTTGTTTATTTTCAAGTTAAGTGAACGAATTCTTAAGAGAATTTCGTCATTCTTACTTGGGTCGTCGTAGTCTCAGGCTCAGATATGGATCCAGATTCTTACTTGGGTCGCGGTAAGCTCAGGTGTGGATCAATTCTTACTTGGGTCGCTGTAGGCTCAGTATGAATCCAAATTCACCGTCAAATTTGTAGTTTTCTGTTTTTGCCCTCTTTTTGTGGAAATGTGTAGCAGTGGAAAATAAATTGTGTAGTATACCAGAACATGGTAGAATTTTGAAGCAGTATATGGGATGTACCACCAGCTTTGTTGTCGTTTTCCTGCTTGATCCTACACCATCTACGTCAGATCTTCGTTCCTGAGTATGAAAATGGTTTCCTTTTGTTCCAGTTGAGAGTTTCGTCCTTTCAGCTCCAATATCAGAGATAGTAGCAAATTTTTCAAAGTTAAGTGGCAAAGTTTGTGAATTAAAAGGTAACATGATGTGTTCATAGTAAAATAGCTTTTATTTTAAATAACAATAATTGCTTTTATTGAAATTTAAAGTATTTATAATAATTAATAAATTATAAAATTTTAGAGTTTGACTTTAGCTATCAATTTGTGCGTTCGGTTTTTTTTTAATTTATTGTTAACTTATGACAGCACGTTTTATTATTTTTTTAATTATAGTTTATTTTATTTTTAAAGAAGGTTAACCTCTATGCCATTTTGAAAGATTTTGTAGCTATCTTCTTTGTAAACAGATGAACATGTAAGTTTTTTCTTTGTATTTGTGTATTTTACAACTATTTATATAGTTTATTTTTTGTGTCATCTGTATTTGTGTAACTGTTTGTGGTGAGACACAATAAATGTTAAATTTTGTTTTCTTAACATTTTTTATTTTTTAACTAATTGTTTATTTTTTAACTAACCCTTTTTTGAGTTTTATTTGAAAAAGATATGTTTTTGATGTTTTATAATTATTTCCCTAGTTACAAATAGTGGTTGTAATAGGTATAATTAGGCACTTCAATTGGTAGCACCACATCTCAAGCTTTGAGATGTGGTGCTACTGCCGTATAATAAGAATAAGTTGGGTGGATAGAATTACAAATGAAGAGGTAATACGCAGAATAAATAACGATCCAGAAGTTATTATGAATACAAAAAAGAGAAAACTTAAATACTTAGGCCACTTGATGAGAGGACAAAAGTACACGTTTCTACAAAATATAATGCAAGGAAAGATCCAAGGACGCAGAAATCCAGGCCGTAGAAGAATGTCCTGGATGAGAAATTTAAGAGAGTGGTTTGGCTGTACCACTAACGAATTATTCAAAACAGCAGTTAATAAAATTAGAATCGCCATAATGATATCCAATCTCCGATAGGAGAGGCACTCAAAGAAGAAAAAGGCACCTCAAGTGGCGCCCTATATTAAATTACTAGAGGTGTTTCCTGTTTATTTTTATTTTGTTTGTTCCAAGAGATTAATGACCCCTTTGTTTCATATTTTTGTAGTTGCCTCAATCCACGACCCCAGCTCTCCTAACAAACCCTGAGTGCCGTTCGCACAAGTAGCGATTATTTTGCTTGCCTTATCTCCAACACCTTAG